AACACTTCTGCACAAACTTTAGGATCACCTCAGGCATGACCAAAATCAAACTCACCTTCTGAGGCTACAAACAGGCCCACCACAAATTCTGTACAACAAAAGTTGATGCACAACACGCACATCCAGCGAACCAATTGGACACGAAAAGTAGGTAAGACCCCAAAAATTGACTTAAAGCTACTCATTTATATAGGATTGCATAATATGTACCCCATGTGTTGTCACCTTGTAGCCAGGGTGCAACCTCAGCATACCAAATATCATAATCGCAGGCGACCCCCCAACAACAAGGACGCTAAACCAACGCTAAAATATCGCACCTTCTGATTGAACAAAACATCGATAACTCAATAGCTATTAGCCCCTTCTACACCTGTGCATATACTTCTACTCCAACCCCAAGGCGTAGTTCATCTCTCCACAGTTGCTTCCTTCACGTACTGGCTGGAGATTAATGAAATTGCCTCAGCCACCGCACACTCCGTAATAGCATTGCAATGATCCTGAGGTGCCAACGCTTGAAGAGCCCCAATCTACGACACAGCAAAAATAGCATACTAAGAAAAAAGTTGCTGGTGCACACTTTCCCTTCAACGTTGTGGAAGGTAAATTGGGATTGATGGGTGTATCCTCTAACCCCATGCTCTACCATAGCCTCTAAAGAAGTAAAGGGTATCACCACTAACAGACACACTCACATTAACCGACTATCGTGCAACGTAGCCCAACTGATTCAGAATCTCCCGAGGTGCAGTGCAGTAATGGCACACGCTAACGTCTCTAAATCTCTCCCGCCATCCTGCTCGCAATCCATTTAAAGACGCCGTTCATAATCCCAACAAATCCACCAGGCTCAGGTATTCCTAAGGTGTGATGGTCAAAATCCATACAAGGGAAAAGCCGCTCGTCTCCAAAAACAAATGATTGCTGAATAATACATACAAATCACCAGCAGATCGCGCACAAAAAAGCTCCCAAGGAAAGTCGACAAAACCCATAACCCCCTGGAGCAAGCAAGTGAAGTACTTCCTGCAATCCCAGTCCGTGATCTAAACAAACTAACCGGAATAGACACATATGCAAGAAACGCAGTGTTGAGTAGGCAACATATGAACATACCACACAGGACGCCAGATCTCCTTCGTTAACAAAAACTTCGATCTATGCTGCAGCGCAACCTCGCACCACTTGCAAGCAACTCGGGTATCTAGACCATAAGCGGCTTAAGTGACCAACTTACTTCCTGGAAATTCCATTCAGGGATGCAACAGAGAACCTCCAACATGACAAATTCCACACACCAGAGGGCCTACGAGAAAGCACGATCCTGACCGAATTGATATTATACATCAATCGGCCGCGAACGTCTGTGGCTACTTCCCTCGAAGCAGCACGAAATGTCAACGAGTCTTGCATGTCTGACCCTATCACTCAGATAATGCTGGCCTGAATGAAAACCTATTTTCCAAGTACAGATCATACGCAACATCAAATCCACGTGCCATGGTCTCCCCCCCATCCTGTCTGGAAAAATGAGCACCCCGTCCCTATGCGCAAACTATCATTTACACCCACGTGCGTTCCCAACAAACCAATGTCACTTAGGAACTACAAACGTACTACCTATACATCAATTCCGCTCACATGCCCCTAAACAAACCTAACTGTCAGGCGCTGGCGAATGTTATAACAATCGAAAACGACCTACTGTCCAAGCACATCCTTCGGTAACGGGTAAGAAACCAGGAAACAAGCTGCTCCCCGTCAGAATGAAAGAAGTTACTTACGACCTGAATACAATGCAGTAGGCGGAATCAAATGGTGCAGGATAAGCACATAGTAGAACAGTACTTGCCTTAGATCCCAATCTACAATGGTCAGCAATTGAGAGAATGTCTTGCTCGCGCAGTAGGGCTATACGCAAAAGGGAACATCAACATGTCACATTCATCTTTCGACGCACGTCCTGAATTACCAGATGCATATCGTTCTGTAGCGATAGGCGTGGCTCCTCTGCTTTGCTCTAGACAATCTGTGGTATACGACTCCGCTGCACAATACTGAAAAACGTCGGCCTGCCAGATCCTGTCGAGACAATAGCGTGCGCATGAAAACTTATACCCAGCATTCCATATGCTGGTGACCACTCGATCCAAGGTCCCAGCCTCATCAAAAAGATATACACCATCCAGAAAACATCCAATATTGCACTTTACCAGATACTGCTCTGCCATCTTGGATAGCCTCACCCATCGGCAAACTCCAACTCACTTCCTGAACAAACGAACAGCTCCACAAAAAATAATCCAGAACTGCAACCATATATTATCACCAAAGTCCACCCTGTTTCGAAAAGCCAACAGCAAAAGCAGATACAACACCCAGATAACACGCAAAATTGCTCTTTACCAGATACTTCTCTGCCATCTTGTATAGCCTAACCCATCGGCAAACTCTAACTCACTTCCTGAACAAACGAACAGCTCCACAAAAAATAACTCAGAACTGCAACCATATATTGTCCACAAACTCCATCTTCCTTCCACCGTCCACTATTGACTATTCTCATAACAAAGACGAAATTTTACCAAGCCGTCCAAATCAGATCGTACACAAACTACGCATGCACTGCAAATAACAAAAAACAGAACACTTGCCAATTGTTGCAATGCGAATTCGAATCTTATATATTGAAGCCTCAGCAAAAGCAGATACAACACCCAGATAACACGCAAAATTGCTCTTTACCAGATACTGCTCTGCCATCTTGGATAGCCTCACCCATCGGCAAACTCTAACTCAATACACCATCCAGAAAACATCCAATATTGCACTTTACCAGATACTGCTCTGCCATCTTGGATAGCCTCACCCATCGGCAAACTCTAACTCACTTCCTGAACAAACGAACAGCTCCACAAAAAATAATCCAGAACTGCAACCATATATTATCAGCAACGTCCACCCTGCTTCGAAAAGCCTCGGCAAAAGCAGATACAACACCCAGATAACACGCAAAATTGCTCTTTACCAGATACTGCTCTGCCATCCTGGATAGCGATTGGGTAGCCGTTTGAGATTGAGTGACGGACTTGTTTGCTTGTCGAGGTGTTTTTTATTCTCAGAACTGCAACCATGTATTATCAGCAAAGTCCACCCTGCTTCGAAAAGCCTCAGCAAAAGCAGATACAACACCCAGATAACGCGCAAAATTGCTCTTTACCAGATACTTCTCTGCCATCTTGGATAGCCTCACCCATCGGCAAACTCTAACTCACTGGCTGAACAACCCAACAGCTCCACAAAAAATAACCCAGAACTGCAACCATGTATTATCAGCAAAGTCCACCCTGGAAGCTTTTCGGAGTCGTTTTCGTCTATGTTGTGGGTCTATTGTGCGTTTTAACGAGAAATGGTCTATGAAGAGACGGTAGAACCTATCGGATTGGGTAGCCGAAACTCTAACTCACTGGCTGAACAACCCAACAGCTCCACAAAAAATAACCCAGAACTGCAACCATGTATTATCAGCAAAGTCCACCCTGGAAGCTTTTCGGAGTCGTTTTCGTCTATGTTGTGGGTCTATTGTGCGTTTTAACGAGAAATGGTCTATGAAGAGACGGTAGAACCTATCGGATTGGGTAGCCGTTTCTCTAACTCACTGCCTGAACAACCCAACAGCTCCACAAAAAATAACCCAGAACTGCAACCATGTATTATCAGCAAAGTCCACCCTGCTTCGAAAAGCCTCAGCAAAAGCAGAATGTTGTGGGTCTATTGTGCGTTTTAACGAGAAATGGTCATACTTCTCTGCCATCCTGGATAGCCTAACCCATCGGCAAACTCTAACTCACTGCCTGAACAAACGAACAGCTCCACAAAAAATAACCCAGAACTGCAACCATATATTATCAGCAACGTCCACCCTGCTTCGAAAAGCCTCGGCAAAAGCAGATACAACACCCAGATAACACGCAAAATTGCTCTTTACCAGATACTGCTCTGCCATCCTGGATAGCCTCACCCATCGGCAAACTCTAACTCACTGCCTGAACAAACGAACAGCTCCACAAAAAATAACCCAGAACTGCAACCATATATTATCAGCAAGCAGGTGGGACGAAGCTTTTCGGAGTCGTTTTCGTCTATGTTGTGGGTCTATTGTGCGTTTTAACGAGAAATGGTCTATGACGAGACGGTAGGACCTATCGGATTGGGTAGCCGTTTGAGATTGAGTGACGGACTTGTTTGCTTGTCGAGGTGTTTTTTATTCTCAGAACTGCAACCATATATTATCAGCAAAATCTACCCTGCTTCGAAAAGCCTCAGCAAAAGCAGATACAACACCCAGATAACACGCAAAATTGCTCTTTAGCAGATACTTCCCTGCCCTCTTGTATAGCCTAACCCATCGGCAAACTCTCACTCCCTGAACAAACCAACAGCTCCACAAAAAATAACCCAGAACTGCAACCATGTATTATCAGCAAAGTCCATCCTGCTTCGAAAAGCCAACAGCAAAAGCAGATACAACACCGAGAATACATCCAATATTGCACTTTACCAGATACTTCTCTGCCATCTTGTATAGCCTAACCCATCGGCAAACCCTAACCCACTTCCTGAACAACCCAACAGCACCACAAAAAATAATCCAGAACTGCAACCATATATTATCCACAAACTCCATCTTCCTTCCACCATCCACTATTGATTATTCAAATAACAAAGACGAAATTTTACCAAGCCGTCCAAATCAGATCGTACACAAACTACGCATGCACTGCAAATACCAAAAAAATCAGATCGTACACAAACTACGCATGCACTGCAAATAACAAAAAACAGAACACTTGCCAATTGTTGCAATGCGAATTCGAATCTTATATATTGACCTGCGAGTCTCCCTAAGAAATAATCCCCCTACATGGCCACACCGAACCTACTACATACCTCTGTATAGTAGAATTTGGAACTGATTGTAAACGAAGATGCCTGGTTTTTCGCCAACATTTAGTGAAACGTGACTCGCACTCCTGTGTGAGTTCCAAATTCGAAAAGCCCAGTATCTTCATCTACAATCAATTTGCTCAATTACAAAATGATCTTTTCGCCTCAGCTCACGACCTGCAGTTGCAAAATATGCGACGAAGCTCCTCAGATGCTAGAGTTAACACATCCCTTGAGCCTCCTCCCACAGAACCTACAGTGGGGGTACGGCTATACTCGGCATGGCGTACTGGCTGGAAGTTCAACATGCAGTCACAAGAGGGGATACCAGATGATCGACACATACACCTCCGTTGATACAAATTGATGAAGATGTTGGAAA